GATATCTAGTGAGTCTGTTAACTTATCCATTTATCAATTCACACCCATTTCTTATTATTTCTTAGTTTTTCGTTTCCCACATAAACATGAATACTAAAGCAATTAACGAGCATCCAACAAGGCAAGTATATCATTAGATTCATAAAATCAAGCCGAAATGAAGTAAGTAGTGATTCATGCATTCAAAACCATAGAATAAAATAAACCAGATACCATAATGCATTTAAACTGTAAAATAAATCAAACAGTAACTGACAGAGAAATATGTCTGATCTGGGCTCTATTAACAACCGTAATTAATTATGCATATTTACTCAATTTGTACAAAATACAGTTTTATCATTTATTCAGACTTCAATCCTGTGATAGGAAATAGGGTGAGGGATCCTTACCTAATTCGACGTCGAAAACCAGATTTTCACTGCGCCTACGGCCAGTCCCTGGATTCCCTGAATTTTTCTCCGGGAACTAAAACGCGCTTATGGTACCTACACATGTCCCAAATAACTTAAATATCAAACCCAAGGCCTATTCGGCCAATTTCAAAATTCCGGCACCGCGGCTCCGCCGTGCTCTAGCGATGGCGATGCCGCTCGCGGTGGCGATCCACCTCGGGTCGGCTGTTTTCAGTCGTTTTCGGCCGTATTCAGCCAAACTTGCATTGGTTCCTGTGAGAAAATAACCCTAGGGCCCTCGGTGGGCCGAAAAAACATCAAAAATCGAAACTTATCGGCGTCGGGACTCTCCGGTGCGGCTGCTCCTCCAGCTCGAGTTATGATTTGGTGTTTTGCTCCGGTCAACCTCGTTTGGCGGCCGAAAATTGCTCCGGTGCGGTGGTGGGTGGCGGTGGTCAGCTCCCCAGCGGTTGGGCTGTCTTCTCCGGCATGGAGCTCTGGCGGCTAGGGTTAGGGTTTAGGTACGGATGAGATTATTTATAACTATTCACTTTTAATTTGAGCCGTCCATCGCGATTCAATCTAGGCCGTCCGATCGCAATTAAATAAGAAATGAATCTGTGTCGTTCATCGCGATGCAATCTAAACCGTCCGTGCGCGATTCAATCTGAACTGTCCGTGCACGTCCAATCTGGGCCGTCTGTGCGCATTTTTGATCTGGACCGTCCATGCGCGCGAGAACGGATCTCAGCCGTTTGATCGCGCGCACGCGAATCATCCATGTGGCTCCCTTCCGCGTGGCCTCCAGCGTCAACGTCTCTACCACGCGGCGCGTCCTGGTTGGCCGGGGCTGCTGACGTGGCACAATTTTTCTAAATTGCGTTTTGACCACCGGTTTTTAATTTTTTTTTCAAAAATATCCCCAGAATCCAAATTTTCACCCATTTTTTCCAAAATTATTTCAATTAAATCCCTAAATAATTTTACCCCTTATTATTATTTCTATTTAAATAAATTAAATTAAATTAAAACCATATATTATTACATAATAAATCATTACATTCATATAATAATTACAAAAAATTAAAATAAAATAATAATAATAATAATAAAAGAAAAGGGTTGGGGTGTTACAACTCTCCCCCCCTTAAAGAAATTTGGTCCCTCAAATTTGCCTCTTACTCTTGATCGAACAAATGGGGGTACTGGGCTCTAAAGTCTGATTCTAGCTCCCATGTAACCTCCCTTGGTGTGTGGTTCTGCCATACGACCTTTACAAAGGATATTTCCTGATTACGGAGCAATCTACTCTTTCGATCTGTAATGCTGACTGGTACTTCCTTGTAGGATAAGTCATCTTTGAGTGGGAGGGGTTCGTGGGCCAAGACATGAAAGGGGTCTGGGTTGTACTTGCGTAGCATGGACACATGAAATACATTGTGGACCTTAGAAAGCTCTGGAGGTAGTGCTAGTCTGTAGGCGGTAATACCAATCCTGTCTAAGACTTCGAATGGTCCAATGAATCGGGAGTTCAGTTTTTCCCTCCTGCCAATCCTATTAATTCCCTTGAAATGAGTGACCTTGAGGAACACTTGGTCGCCTTTCTCAAACATTAAATCTCTCCTCTGGGTGTCTGCGTAACTCTTCTGCCTGTTCTGAGCCGTCTGAATGTTCTTTCTGATCTTAACTATATTGGATGTGGTCTCCTCTACCAGCTCCGGGCCGAACAATTTTCTATCGCCCACTTCTTCCTAATAAATTAGTGATCTGCATAGATGCCCATATAACGTCTCATACGGAGCCATGCCAATGCTTGCTTGGTAGCTGTTGTTGTAGGCAAATTCTATCAGGGACATATGGTCATCCCAATGGCCTCCAGAGTCAAGAACACAAGCTCGAAGCATATCTTCAAGTGTACAGATTGTCCTTTCTGATTGTCCATCCGTCTGAAGGTGGAAGGCAGTACTGAGGGACAGCTTCATTCCCATGGCTTGTTGAAAGCTATTCTA